TAACCCACCGAGAGTCTTTTGACTGCAACAAATTAATGAAAAAAAAGATTGAATAAATATAAGCAAACACAGATCCTTTTACCATTCCAGGCCCTTCACCATCAACTTGCTCTAATGTGTTCTTTTATTGGTTATTTCTTTAATCTGAATTCTAGTCTCTGAAACTGATTTCTACCTCTTCCTCTAAGTGAATTTAACTGAGTTTATTATTAACACCTGGGAAAATTCTAGAGCAGATCATAAAAAAAATTTTAAGCATCCCAGCATAACTCATGTTTTGATCAGGTAATTTCCTTATTAGATTGTGGGAATGCTATAGACATAGTACGATTTATTTATTTATAAAGAGTTGCCGGACATTTTTATCAAGTTTTCAGAGGACAAAAAAATTAGGTAAAATAACTATTATAGGAGAGAAAAATAAAATTACAACTCATCTTGTTAGGTTAGAGAAAAGAGATGAAAGTTTCAGAATAAATGCAAAATTTTTCATTTGAAACAGAAATCAAATGTCCGGGTATAGGATGGGAATTATCTGGTTTGGTAATGGGACTTATGAAAAAGATCTTGGAATAGCAGTCAATCATGAATCGAATATGAGCCAGCAGTAAGACGTGGCTGTGAAACAATGAAAAGGCAACTTTAGGCCTTGTCAACAGAAGTATAAAATGCAGATGCATTTATTTATTGGATTTATAATACCACCCAACTCAAACAAAGTGATTCTGGGGAAACCATGGGGTTGTCCATGGGGAAAAGATAGTTCCACTTTATCCTGTTTTACCCAGACTATATCTTGAGCACTGTGTTCAGTTCTGAATGCCACATTTTAAGAAAGATTCAGAGAAATTAGAACTGGTTCAGAGAAGATGTCATGGAGTTTTGTGTCTTTGCAAGTTTTGTTGCAATGCAGAATGTCGTTGTTTCCCACATAGACTAGACTATATAATTTGGCGAGGCAAGACTGAACCTCAGGCACAATGCAACTCACCCCCCCTTCCTATCCAGTGATGGTGATGGTGATGATGATGATGATTTAATATAGGCACCCACTCCAGCGGGCTCTGGGTGGCTTATAAAATATAATAAATGTGTTCAACAGCAGGTCTTAAAATATTATCACTAACAGCCTGAGAATCTTTAGACATGATTATGCGTATGACCATTTGCCATTCTCATTCTGTTTCAGCAGCATCTGAAATTCCATCCTCCGGCCCAAGATGGCCCCAAAGAAAAAAAAGGCAAAAGCTAAGAAAAGCAGAGGCAGGGACGGGACGGGGGGCCCACTGAGCACCACACCTTTTGTGAGCGAGAAGGAGCAGTACTTGCAGAAGGAATTTGCCATCCTCTCAGAACACATCAAAACATACTCCCAGCGGGTGCGGGACTTCCAGTGGGAAAACGAGTACTTAGACAAGGAAGCCCAGCAGGTCCGAGAGGCCAACAAGGTCTACCTCTCTTACTTAACCCGGAGAACCATCCGTTGCCAGAATGCCATCATTTCACTGAACGATCAGAATCGGTTTGACCTCTCTCAGATCCGGAAGCAGAAGGAAGAGGTGGCCGCTCAGTACACGGAAAGAGAGAGGGAGGTGCGGTATCAGCTCGTCGAGCTGGAAAGCAGGCTCTTCCACCTGAACAGGGAAGTGGCCGATCTGCAGCCCTGGCAGGACCTGCAGCTTCAGCACCTGACCCGGATACGGGAGCTGGAGAAGCAGCTGCTGGTCACCAAAATTCAGCACGCGGAGCAGATGCACAAGGTCAAGAGCCGCTTCCTTCAACAGGCAGCGGAACACGAGATGAATGCTCAGCAGAAGCTCCAGCTTCTGGCCAAACTGGCAGAGGAGGCGGCAGTGCACAGTCTAATCCAGCACACCAAGCAAGTGAAAGCTGACAATTGGAGTCTCCAGAATGAGCTTCTGAAGCTCATTAGGCGAGCCCAGACGCTGAAGGCTTTTCTAAGTCACCTGCGGGAGCAGCAGCACCGACTCTTTCAAGAGCACCAGTGCAGAGAAGACCTTGCACGCATGCGCTCCTGGCTACAGCACCGTGGGTCTCACTGGGTCCTGACTCCTGGCAGCAGCTTTCGATGCACCCCATCAGCCAAGAGCAAGCTCATCTCCTCTTTGTCTCCAGGTGCCAATCCGCTGATTGTGCAGGAATCTGGGTCTATCCCAGGCTGCTGTGAGCCAGAGAGGATGCCCATCCCTCCATTGCCCACACTCAGTGCCTGAAGCTCCCACTACTGTTGGCTCCCTGGCGTGGCCCCTGCAGCCAGTCCCAGCAAGCTAATGGTGGCATTTCGCTCGCTTCTCTCTCTTCCGCGGGGAGCAGCAGCAGCAGCAGCAGCAGCAGTCCCGTCCCTTGTAAACGTTCATGCTGGCGAGGCTGAGCTGACGTCTACAGGCAGGGCCACTCTTACTTTCAGGGATGAGGGGGCTGCTGTCAGTGGCATAATATTTCATGGCTGTTGCTAGTTTTTATTCACTGTTCTAAATGTTCTGGTGTTATACTGGTTTTATTGGAAGTTCCTCTGAAAAACTGCATATTGAAAGGGGTCACAGATGTTAATGTTAAAATAAATGTCATTTTTCTAATTTCCATCATTTTGGCCTACAATTTGAAGATTTAAAAAGTGACCCACGTGTACACGCACATTGTGATGGCAGACCCATTGTGCAAGTCCTGAGATGCGGATTAGATGCCAGAGGCAGCCTTCTTATATTCATTGCACCGACTTTTCCAAAGTAAATTTCTTCTGTTTGGCTGGAACGCATGTTGATCCATTTCCTGCGTTCAGCAGGTGCACCTTTATATAGAATGGACCCTACATTTCCAAGATCTCTTCCCCAGGCATGATGATTAAGAAATCCAGCAAGAATGAGATGGCTAACAGCGGTATCTGCAGGGGGGTCCAAAAAAATCAAGATGGTCCACATGGCAGAATGACCAAAGCCCAGCTTCACTATACATGTGAGCAATGTTGACACAGGAACAAAAAGGGAGGGGCTTTGGTCATGCTGCCACGGCTGCTCTCGTGACTTTGGACCCCCCCCCGGCCAGACACAGCTGTCTCCAGCCACGCTAAGTGGGGTGGTAGCCACGCTAAGCAGGTAATGGGGCAGGGAGGTGCCGTCTCCTCCCCATAAACTACTGAACTGTGGCCCGTAGAGCTCAGTAACTGCCACATAACATTAATATCCTGCATTTCTCCTAAAAGTACCACAGCCACACACATACACACTATTAAAGCTACCAAGGAGAGAGGGAACCTGATCCCCTTTAGAAGGTGGACAGTGATGTGACAAGGGAGCACCCTGGCACAGCGACTGCTCCTTTGGAGACTTGCCTGGACAAATCGAGTTCGCTCCGCACTTTTCAGCCCCTTGGATGCACAGGAGCTGACCCAACTCTCAGCACCCAGCTTCTTGCGAATTATCTTCCTTTTAGTAACACAGCAAGCAACTCCTGGTTTGGTTTCCAGCGCGCTACTCATCATAACAACTTCCCCCCCACCAGCCTCCCACTTCTCCGCAACAGCGATAAACAGAGGCTCAAGTTGCGCCTTTTGCTGGGCTTTAAAGTGAGCCGCTTCTTTCCTGGGTAATGACGCAGGCTAAGTGTAGATGAAATATAGGTACGGTACTGATATTCCTAGATTCCATTCCTGGAAACAAGGGGGTTGATTATGCCAGCTGCCATTCCCTCTGGCTGGCAGGACAGGGTCAGTCTTCCCAGAAGCCCTCTGCACTGGCTATTACAGAACCGTGGGGCAGAGGGGACCTCAGATATAGTCCAATTCCCTGTCCAACCCAGGAATCTTCATCCCACCCTGAACAAAGGGCTGTCCAACCTTTTCCTGAAAACCTCCAGTGACTCTAAATTCCTCATTTTGAGTTTGGGTCTCCTCCTGCCCTCAGAAGCTATCTATACCCTCTTCCCGGACTTTCAAGTATTGGAAAAGTACTATCAGCCTTCTCTTCTTTAGGCTAAACATACCCAGTTTGTAGGCTGTAGGTAGTTTTATCCCGACACGCCTCCCTTCGTGGGTCTTGGACCCCCCACTTCAACCACCTCACCCTGGGATCTCCTGGGCCCATGGCAGTCTGGAATTCCTTTGGGTTTGCCAGCCAGACTACCTCCTCCTCCCCAGAAATGCTGGTCCCCCCTCCCCCTTGCCAGCACCGCAGTGGCCCCCCTTTCCTATGGGACAACATGCACGCTCTGCTCTCAGCTAAAAGGACTGCGTGTCCGGCTGGCTGCATACGTGACAGGAGAGCCAAGGCTACACTGCTGGAGAGGCAGCGGTCTACCCTGCCATAAAATGATTTCTGAGCTGTGTTTGGACCCAGATCGAGCCTCTAAGACAACTTACGAACAGCAAGACACGGAGGAGGAGATATCACTTTAGAAGGCCGAGCAAATGAACACTTGAGCCAATGATCCAGGGATAATGGACTCCCCTTTGCTGGATGTGTTCAAACGGTCTCCCATCCATCCAAGGTTCCTACACGGAGGATGGCATTGGGCTTGGTGCATACACAATCCCTTCCTCCTGTAGGATTCTCTAAAAAAAGTAGGGGGAGCATGCATAGCATCGCTTCTGGAATCCTTCCCGATCCTTTTATGGAAAGTGCCTGATGCTCATATGTGCGCACAAGGAACACAGGATGGGCTGTGCATGCCCTCTCTGGGTCGCGTTGCCAGGAAGGAATGGGGAGCTGCTGCCCAACCGCCTCTTCCACAGGCACGGGGTGGGGAATATTTCTGGATTGTTTTCTCTGAAGCCCATTTTCCAAATTTCTCCCCAAAAACTGAATTGTGTCCCACTCTGGAGAAGTACCCTGACGGACAGACAGGGCCCCAGCCTCTCTGCCTCATTTCTTTCCATCATGCCCGGTGTTCGTTCCCATGTGTGCGCCAATAGGGTGCAGCAGCTTTACTGAGGGGATTGTGGGGTCCAGGGAGGGCACGTACAAAGGGATTCCTGGCATCCCTGATCAAACAGCATCCCTCCGTGGGTGCTTTGCAAGCCTCGGACGAAGGATCCCTCTCCCAGCCTCCAAGTGAGCCTCCTCAGAGAGGCTCCTGCAGGCTCAGAGGGGAACGGAGGCCAAGGAGTGCATGAAGAACGCAGCGTGCCATTCGAGGCCCCACAGAAGAGACCCCGGGAAACAGAGGGTGGAGGTTTCCCAGCCGTGCAGCGTCTCCGGCAGCTGGGAACTAGCTGCACGGCCGAGACTGACTGAGTGCCCAGGGTTCAGAAGCCACCCTACCCTGAGGAGGGTTTCTTGCGTAAAAATAAAAACCAGGTGTTGCTGATTTAACTCCGTGTAGAAAAGGCTTTTTCCTCAGAAGTTTTTTTTGGGGGGGAAGGGGAAGGCTTTATTTAAAAGCTTCAGCAGCACAGCCCCAGGCCCAGCGAACGTGAAAAGAGAGGAGAGAGTGCCCCCACTTGCGGGACTCACAAAGAGATCAGCTTGCTGGGGCCCAGAGCAAAAAAACTGTCAGTCAGCCAGAACCAGGCAAAGACCCACGTGCCCCGGCATCTTCCTCCTTGGCAGTTCCTGAGCTTACGCCTGGTCATGACGGGACAAAGACAGATCTTACTGAGTCAAGCACGCTGCCTGCCAACGGAGTTGGGAGGAAGGCAGGCCTGTCTGTCTGTCTGTCTGTCTGCCTGCCTGCCTGCTGCAAGTGGCCAGAGACGCTGCTCTGGGAAGCCGCTCAGGGCTGCTGGGGGCCAGGGGCTAGTGCTGGATGGGAGGTACTGGATACAGGCAGGCTCTGAAGGGCAGACTTGCAGATAGTCCCATAGGACTGGGAGTAGCTGCCTAGGTGGGCCTTGGGGTCGCCAGCTACTCCGACATTTGCTGTAGCCTGGAACATTTTTTTGCACGGCTTCAGACAGAAATGGGCTTCCCTGCCGTGGGATTCGGGGTTCCGTGGATTCTGCAAAGAAAAGAGAGCAGTGGAAGGGGCAGGAATAGAAACTCAGGGAGTTATTCGAGGGGGAGGTTGAGGCAGGCGTGTTTTGAGGGGTGCCCCCTCTCAAAAAGCAGACAAGCAGAAGAGCAGGGCAGGATCACTGCGGTATTCAGCAGAATTATATCCTTCCTTTCCTTCAGCAGCTCAAGGTGGGTACGTGACGCCCTCCTCCCACTGATCCCACACAACCACCGCACTGGGGGAGCGTGTTTCCACCCCAAGTCTACCCACCTATCCCTTTGCCTTCTCAGGCCAGGAAAGCTGATGCACACCACAGCCCAAGCTACGCTGTCCCTGAGGACTCCTCCAGCCGGAAGGCACCCCAAGTCCAGCTTCACTCACCAGCCCGCCGGCAGCCTTGCTGGGAATGGTCCCCTTTCTCATCAGATGCTGGTTGAGGGCCGCTTCCTGGGCCTGACTGATCAAGGAAAGAGGCTTGAAGGGCGATGCAGCCTGGCTTGCTCCCCCAGGCCCCTTCGGCACCTGCTGAGGCAAACCAGAGAGACTGACCTTGTGCTGCACCTGGAATGGGGCTTCTTGATTAATCCACTCTCCGCTTCGGTGCATGACTTTGAACCACAAACTGGCCTCACATGACTCCCCCGAAGCTACCCAGGTTAAAACTACCCAAACGCAGCCACGCCAGAACAGGGCGGAGAGGGAGAGGGAGAGGTGTGGCCAAGTGAAAAAGCTTCGGCAGACCAAGTAGAACTCTTTGCGTTGCCAGAGAATCCACCCAATGCCAGAAACACCTGAAAGCTGATACGTGGCATGTGGGGGTCCTTTTGCACTCAGGCAGGCAAGGAACTGGGGACTCCTTCAAGGGAACGCTGCAGGGCGTTCAATGCATTTTACGTACACGGCCACTGGGTCATCATCTGCATCGTTATTCTGTGACTCAGAACAGTTTCATTACCTTCTACTTCAAAGGGGGCGGTGTGTAACCCAAGAGGAAGGGAGGACAGAGGGGCACGCGAATGGCTTGCACGGCTATCCCAGAGAGGGGCTTCTGGGCTGCAGTGTGTAGGAAGTGCTGGGTCCCCTTTGCTACAAGCTGAGATCCCTTGTTGAACAGAAAAAGAGTCAAGCTTGGCAAAGGTATGAAAAAGGAAGGACAGCACTCTGGAACGAAGATGGGAGAGAGCCAGGATCTAGCCCTAGCCCTAACAGGGAGCTGGTGCAGCAACTGAAAATGAGTTCACTTTGCCCAGCACCCTTATTCAAGGGCTGGCTGGCTCCTGCTGTACCACTGACGCTCGCAGTCACAGAAGGCGGTGAGGCATCCCTGAGACCAGCAAGCTGTAGGGTTGAGCCAAAGGCAGAGCGACTCACATCACAAAGACCGAATGTGCCTGCTGCTCTCCGGTGCTGCAAAAGGCGTGAGGCAGATGGACCCATTGCCATGTTGCCAGGAGGCAGATGATCTTCAGAAAGGGAAAAAACATGAAAGAGAGAGAGATGGGCAAATCAGAGACAGGAATAACTAACCTGAGGCACCAGGGCTCCACTGCTGCAGCTCCTAGAGCACTTACGAAGTTACCAATAAATTGGAATTATTACGTGCCAGAGGGAACAATAATTACACATATGAACAGTGCTATTAAATGTATTTAACGTTAACTGAAGTTAAATTAAATCAGATAGTATTTGTCCTGTCTTCACCTATTTCTTGCAGGGAAATTCTTGGGGTGCCCCATCAAGGCGTAGACTGAAAAACAGTGTACACCCTTGATTTAAAATATTCAAAGGCTGCTAAAAATTTCAATACAGGGAGTCCTCACTTACCGACCGCAATTGGGACTGGCAACTCCATCGCTAAGCAATGCAGTCATAAAGTGAAATGTCACACGACCATGCTGACTTACAATGTCAGTTCCAGTTGCGGTCGTTAACCAAATCATCCATGGTCGTTAAATGCAACATCAGGTGACCACAGCTTGTGACTTCCTGCTGGCTTCCCCATTGAGTTTGCTTGTCCAAAGCCGGCTATGAAGGCGATCACGTGACTGCAAGACGGTGCAATCGTCATAAATGTGCGTTGGTCGCCAAGTGCCTGAATCGCAATCACATGACCACAGGGACGCTGTGACAGCTGCAACTTTGAGGACCAGTTGTAAATCTCCTTTTCCAGCACTGTCATAACTTCAAACAGTAGCTGAACAAGCAGTTGGTAAGTGAGGACTACCTGTATTGTAATAAAGAATAAAAAATCTAATTACAAAACTAGAAAATGAGGTAATATATACTTTCTAAAACATTTCTACTCAATGTGATTAGTGCCTTGCCTGCATATGAATGCATTTTTAAAAACTTACCCCATAGAAAATAAGGTGTTATAGGCAACATTTCACAATGAAAAACCTTTGCATGGCCATACAAAATATATTCCTGTGACTGATGGGACTGGGAACAATATCGTATTCATGGGTGCAAACAGTTAACTCATCAAAGAACAAAGAAGTATACAAATATGAACATGAAACTATGACTGAGCTTCACAACGTCTACCCATTCTTACCACTGTTTTGTATAAAAACCAAAGGCTAATTGAGTTCAACTGAAATGCACTGTATTATTCTTAATCAGAGTGATTGTTCCCTTTCAAAGTCCAGTTGCTGCCTGCAGTCCTGCTTTGGGAGAATCCAGGACAGAGAGTTGCTTTTTTTTTTTATCATGGAGCCTCCTTCTTCCTCCTGGAGCAACTCTTGCAATCAAAACAGGGAACAGTTTGACCAGGAGGTGATCTAGAAAGACAGATTTGCACCAGGGGAATCCTAGGCCCAGTCCATGGTTTGTCCCCAGCTGTGTCTCCCTTGATATCGTGCTTCTTTTGAATGCTGATTGAGTACAATTTGGAACAGAAAAAAGTACTTATGCCTCGTGCTTCCTTCACACTGTAAGTAAAAATATGGAAGGACACTGAATTTGACCAAACCTAACAGTGCATCCATGTTTGAGAAGAGAATAACCTTCAAACACGCTCACCATGAGTGTTTCCTACATGATTAATGAACAGCTTAAAGAAAAGTCACACTAGAGTGATCCGCTTGTCTGCAAAGGAGAATGAACGGAAAGACCTTCCATTCCAGACCAGCATTAGTGTACCGAAGGGGGGCAGAGAATGCTGGGAGGACATGAGAAATGAAATGGCCAAACTGCTTGTTCTGATGGGTGAAGCTATTGTGGAAGACTGATATCTGAAGATAATCCTGGGATCAGAAGAAAACAATTTGTCTCAAACGTCTCCTTCTAAACATGGAGGGAAATTGTAATAATGTCCCAATTTGGATTACAGGTAGTCCTCACATACTGACTGCCACATACAGCGACCATTTGAAGTTACCATGGTGCTAAAAAAATAACTTTGTGACCAATCCTTGCATTTACGACTGTCGCAGCGTCCCACAGTCATGTGATCACCATTTGCATACTTCACAACTGGCTTGCAATAAGCAGAGTTAATACAGAAGGCAGAAGTAAAATTGTAAGTTGTGGTCATGTGATTTTTTGCTTAGTGGCTGTGTCACTTCGTTTAACAACCAAAGGGGAAGCAAGGTCGTAAGTCCATCACAGATTTTCTGCTTAGCGACTACGCTGCTTAGCAACTGAGTTGCCAGTCCCAATTGTGGTCGCTAAGCAAAAACTACCCGTAACTGGAAATTGCAGTCAGTCTAGTATATTCTTCTGCTGACTAGTATAAGAGGGAAAGGAAACGGGTAGTTCATTTATCTCCTCATTCAACGTTCTCTCAAACTGAGTCCAGTTCCAACATCTTCTCACCAGCTGTTATCTTGATATCTGTGGAGCTCGACTGGCCACAAGCTCTTCTTACACTTGCACCTAGGAGACTCTGCCATTTTCAACATTCTTGAATAGGGACGGTTAGGCAGGAAATCCAGGGAAAAAGGTCTGATTTTTCCTAGTGTGAGTGACTAATTGCTAAGGAGACATAACAAGTTGTGTCTTGCTCGAGCAAAGCATGAGTGGGGACTGGAGAAAAGGGTGGGAAAAACAGTTCTTAAAAGGGAGAACGAGCCAGAGGTATTTGCGCTCCAGCTCAGTTTGTTTCCCCTGTCAGGTTCGGTCAGCACGAGGTTTCAGGGAAGCACGGGGCTGCAGGGAAGCTCGCAACCAGCCCACGCGGATTCCACCGGCGGTAGCTAGCGGGGAAAAGAGG